TTCCCCTCTGCACCACCTAGGGGCTGGAGATCAGTGCAGACTTCTAATAGCTCCCAGCAAAAACGAGCATCCATGTACCAGCAAGTCACATCTGGGTTGGAGGAGGACTCAGAGGAGGATGCAGTAGTAGAGGTGAGCCAGTCTGGAGAGGCTGAAGACAAAACAGCACCTTCATCCAGACACAAGAGAAAATCTAAGGATGAGATACTGTGCGTCAGAAAGAAACCTTACACTGGGCCTGGGGAAACGTATAGAGAGTGTTCTCCCACTGTGAGCATGAGTCTACTCAGTGCAGAGGATAATGGAGAGGACTTGCTGTCGCCTGATAGCCTCAGATTGCCTGAGAGACTCTGGGAAAGTCCAGGTGAAGAGGAAGATGAGGTTGAGGAAAAATATGAAGCAACTAAAGGAGAGTCTGAAGAGATTCAGCTGCCAAGTCAGTCAGACAGCAGCTTTGTAGATATCTGTAACTGGGATAAGATTAATGGAAATGATAGAGACAATGAAGTGAAAGTTAAAGTGGGAGAAGACAGTGTGGAGGAGGCTCCCATGATCACAATGGTTGAGGTGAAAAGAGAAAACATGAACTCTCCAGAATTAAAACCTGTTACAGATAACACATTGCAGTGTTTGGCACAGGCCTCTCCAAACCAACCCAGTGTTGACAAAATGTCAACAACTGAGGTTGATGAAAGTATTTTAGGATCTCATCTTTGCACAAGCCTCAACAGTGATGTAGACAAAGACAGCGGAGACACAGAGGATGATCCAGTTGGCCTTGACAGTTTGTCTGACCTAGCATTTTCTTGTTTTCTTAATCCTACCACTGAAAGTGTTATGGGAGCTCTAGAGGAGGACAGTCTAGCTAGTCTGACAGCTGCTGCCACTGCAGCTGCAGCTGCCAGCGACGCTACTATACCTATGGACAGCAGTTTGTGTCAAAATGGAGACCAATCTAATTCCTCATCAACACAATCATCAGATCCCTCTCTGGCTTTTCCAGTAACCTCTGTTCCTCTGCAGCAGCTTCTACCAACTCAGTCAAGTGGATTCACTGATACACTTATCCTACAGCCAGCCCCAAATCCTCTGACAGGGTACCTGAGCAGTCTGGGTCCTGGACTCACCTTGGAGGCGTCTGTGATTCAGCCCTCCCCCAGTGTTAAGAGCAGGGCAGGTGGAAGCTCTGGGGTGACAGGTTTCCGTCGCATTGCTCCAAAAGTGCCTCCTGAATCTGAAGTCACTTCTGATCCTTCAGGGGAGACTGCAGAGCGGCCGTCTCTTACCAGAGCATCAGAAGATGTTATGTCCAAGTGTAAGAAAGCAGCAACTGAAGACCATGTGCTCTTGGTTGAAGGGGACAAAAAGTATGCCTGCAAAATCTGTTGTAAAACCTTTATGAATCTGACCGACTGTAAAAAACACATCCGTGTTCACACAGGAGAGAAGCCCTACCCCTGTGCCAAGTGCGGAAAACGGTTTAGTCAGTCCTCACATCTTTATAAGCACACCAAGAACTCATGCCAAAACTGGAAAGATGACCAAGCCTTCTCCGACTCACTTCCAGCGTAAAAGAAAGCCAATTAAAACCCGTTTGCCAAAAAAACATTTATTTATTATCATGTTTCAAAAAACATTATATTGTCCTAACTTAAACTGTGTTGGAGTGTTTTGTGGTAGATTTTGGACACCACTTTTGCCTACAAATTAATGTGGTGTGGGAATAATTGGAAGTGACTAGATCAGATCTATAAGTGTACTTGAGGGTGGTTGTAGCTTACTGCCCTCAGGTAAGTGAATGAATAATACATACAATAAAATAATCAGAATAAATACTATTTTTGCTGTATTAGAAAATACTGTATTGTTGTATTTTTTTGTAAATGTATTAAGTGCAGTTAATATGTAGGTCAGTTTGATTTAATAAGTAATATCTTTGAAGGTTATTGCTAATAAATAAGTACATAAAAATCATGAAATGCTATGTTATGTTATACACTACACCTTTGCAGTACATAGTATTTGTTGGTAATTTTGCCACAGAGCTGAGCTCTCCAATTTGAGTACACCACAGAAATAAGCCCTAAACCTTTAGTTCACTCGGCATATCAGTGCCTTGTAAACCAGCCAAAAGGTTGCGAGCTGCAAGGGATGACATGATGCCTCTTGTGGAGTAGGTGGCACTACCAATGTGTGGCAACACCACTGTAAACAAGAAGGGGTAGGGGAGAGATAAGTCAGACCTTAATGTTGAAGAACAGAATGTATTTTTTTTAAGTAGACAAAGAGCGTTAAATACAGCGTACCACAGTTCTTGAGTGTGAGGAGTGGGTGGTTTGTTGGAAGAGGTTCTGGAGTAGTAACATCCAAACCAGCTGCAGCGATTTGTCCATTCTTCAAAGCTTCATATAGGTCCTCCTGATTCACCACAGCTCCTCTGAAACATATTACACTCATTTGTGTACTTAATGTTTCCATAATGTTGAAATAAGCCTACCTGCTTGTATTGATAAAGACAGCAGTATCTTTCATCTTACTGAAGAAGGCCTTATCACACAGGCCCTGGGTTTCAGGGGTCAGTGAGCAGGATAGGACTACGAAGTCACACTCGGAAAGGAGCACATCCAGTGGCACTAGGAATATACACGTATGCATTGTTGTTAGTCTAATTACCGGTAGATGAGCTGAAAACAGCCTCATTTTGTCTTTGTTCATACCAAATTCTCCATTGACCTCGGCAGCATTGGGCTTTGCAGTTCTACCAGTATATAAAAGTCGTTTTACGCCAAAAGGCATAAGTCTCTGTGCAATTGCCATTCCTAGAATAAATGGAAAGTAAGATAATTGAAAAGTAAAATTGTGTTTGAAAACCTTGATTCCATGAGGCCAATGCAAACAAAATGAGGTATTATTTTAGCAATGTTCCTCTAGGGCAAGGCGAGAAAAAAAAAAAAAAAAACAATGCAGAAAGGCAGCCCCAATTCTTTCAATTTCCTCACAGCAAATCAAGTAAAAAATTCAGTCAGGCCTTGTTTTGATACACAGTAGTGTGCATGACCTCTTTGTACTTGGTTTGACATTGTTTGCTTTATTACAATTACACTGCAATAAAAAATATACAAATTAATTATATATAAAAATTTGAGAATTAAACCAACCAATGCGTCCAAGTCCAATGATTCCTACTGTACTGCCAGACAGACCATAACCACAGAGCCAAAGGGGTTTCCACGTACTCCAGCCTCCACTAAAAAGCAAAAAGAGGAAAATGATATTCATTTAAACTGGGTCACCCACCATGAAAACAAGAGCTGATTAGGGTAAATATGTAACGTTCTGGGACTGACTTTTTGACCTCCTCCACTCCCTCTGGTAATCTACGTGCAGTGGCCAACAGCAGTGCTACAGTCAGTTCTGCTGTAGCATCTGTCAACACATCAGGAGTGTATCCAACACGAATGCCACTTTTAATAGAAGACAAAACATAGCATGTTTAGCATTTAGCACTACTTATTATTACATGATGAACACCTACCGTTTTTTTATCTCATCAATTGCCAAGTGGTCAAAACCAACAGAAAGGGTGCTGATCACCTTAAGGTTAGGTCCTGAAAAAAGTCCGTCACACATTCAGAGCTTTATATTACCACTAGCTAAGGCAATAAGCCAAAAGCTAAAATTTTGTTTTTGCTACTTAGACTTTCACTTTCACGGACCAGTTGGATTTCGAGCATACATTAATTTTAGTAGAAGAAGCTTGCCTGACACCATCAAGTCGGTATATATTTTAACCCATATATTGTTCGTATATCAGATTAATCCAAATAATTTGATTGATGTATGTGAATGAGCACATGGAACACATTCAAAAGTAGCTGAAAATTTAATTCTAGCTAAACTACTACATTGTAAGCCACAAGAAGAGCCACAATGACCAAAGAGCAGTCATAAATTTTTAAAACTATATATATATATTTTTTTATATATATATTTGAAAGCCTCTTGTACCTGCTGCATTCAGTACTTCAGCATCTATCTTATCGGACAGTAGACACAGGATCCCCGCAGCTCCTTGCACCCCTTTGAGCAGCTCTGTCCTGGGCACCGGCTCATCACTGTCCCACACACACGTCTCACATCTGTTACCATGGAGACACAGAAGTAAGGACCAATGCTAAGATAAGCACATGAGCAAAATTTTTTTTTGACACAGATGAAGATCATGGGTGAACTGATTACCGATGTGACTGATTATAACGCTCACTTAAGTAGAGCGAATTTTTAGTTAGCATTATTAGTTAATGAATAAACAAAAAGTACTCACACTCCCGCCGAGGAGAGGATTTGCATTCCCTCTGGCGGAATACGTCTTGTCACGAAAACCCTCATCATTTTGCCAACTTTTTGCATACCGCTTCAGAAACCTCTTTAGTGTCTGTATCTGCACAGCGACAATGAATGAATGTACTTCACAAGTCTGCAAAAGTGAAAAGGGCAAAACGAATGCAGCTCATATCACAGGAAGTAGTTGGTGAACAGCACAGCGCATGCGCGTTTATTAATGCACAGACTGAGTGCAAACATACTGTCTGCAAATTAATGAAGCAACTGGATGATAACATAATCAGTCACACGATGATTATTATTTTATTTAATATTAAATTAAAAGATAACATACGTTTACTTTTATTTTTATACACAGTTAAGTCATGTATTTATCAATCTGGAATCATAATTCACTTATAGCATAGCATATTCATTAACTATATAAAACACGCCTTAAAATTATACAGTCTATGGTTTGCACGATTTTCATGTTTTAGTGAATGGAATAATAAACAAAACAGTCATGAATAAGTAATAAGAAAGAGTGCTATTAACAAATGTAGCTGACTAAAAGCTCTATTTAATAGTTGATAATCATTACAGTCAGTAATCAATTATGACTGTAAGAAGAAGTGGACTTTCTCTGCTGGCCTCTGGGCAGTCCGCACATGACGTCAGTCTCGTAGTCGTCTGCATTTTCCTTGTTGCTGCTGAAGCTCTGCCCAGCCCGTTCTCGCTTTGGCTTTGCGCAGAAAATGTAAGATCTCGAGCTTTTGAAAACGAGTGCATGACATATGAGCTGCTCCCCCCGTCGCACGGATTATTAAAGAGGACTATTAAAGGTAGGATTTGCGCCACCCTGTACTTTATTATCCTCGTGTCTCCAGCGGCTATTAGCTTTACTCTAAGCAGTCCTGGTGACATGCAGTCGATCTTTATACAGTCAGTGATATAATTGTTTGTTTTCAACTCATTACATGATATACTTGCTCGATATGGTATGTTTATTCGCCTGTGGAGAAAAAAAAAATTCAGTGTTCGATACAGTCATTTACACAGTGTTACTTACACTGGAATAATACATTTGAGTTTGGTTTTTGACATCATCCCCAAGAGTCTCAAGTAACCACATTAAAGCCTTATTAGGAAGGAGGACAGTTATTAAGCCGCCTTGGACTATATTTCAACTGGACACTCCTTTTAGTTGTAAATTATGTAACATTAGGTATGGACTTTATTTCTCTACATTTACATTAACGAGATTGACTTGTCATGTGAATGTAAAGTAGATCTAAAAGTCCCTTGTATGAGTCATGTCTTACTAGTTAAAAACCTAAAGAAGGCATCCCTAACCTTTATGTAGCTCTTTTGGAGTAGTATGTGTCCCTATATGATTATGGTCACTATCATTACCACACTTCTAAGACTCTCGAAAAATCTGTCCATGTGTATTTCAGAGGGAGCGACCCGCCTCGTCGCTCCAGGAGCTGTGGAACCTGCAGGTCTTGTCTGGGCCTGTTCACCACTGCAGGGTTTGTGCACAGAGACTGGGACTGTGCTATGGCTCTGTTGACTCTGCACCGGACCCCATCCATTTCCACATCTCCAGTGAGTTCATACCTCTTCTTATCTGCCCACATTTATCCGGGGTTGTTCTTTGGAGAGTAGACCCATGTTAGGGCAGTCATTAAAATTCCCGAAAACACATGCAATCTTAGGTCATATTATACTTAAATAATGGGAGTCACTAACCCAACTAAAACAAAAACAAGTGAAAGTTTGGACCTGATCCAAGCAGCTAATTATGTTATCACTGTCACATTCAATTGATCAGATTTTAATGATATGTGAATTGCTATCAAATCTGTTACAATACACTTAATTTCTCACAATAACAAATAAGGTGTTAGTGGATGTCATTTTCAGATACTATATGATGCAATTTAAAATAACTTAATTCATGCAAATCTATGTGTTCTCCAATATGGCTTTTATTGATTTTAACACCAGATAAGAGATTGTTTGTTCTGACCTGGCTGTGAACAAATAGCATACAAAGGAATGTTATATGTGGCTATCCCAAGCTCAGCCGTGTCAGGGAATGATTGTATCTCATGGTGTTTAGCTGTTTAACCAATGATCTATCTCTGCTTCTCAATTCATTCACTTGCCTTGTTATTACAAACAACAAAAAACCCATCTCCAGTTTCATACTTGTCCACATTTTCAATTTCCTTATTGAATCTACTCATCTGCATAACATTTTTTCTGCTTTCTTTTCTATATCATTTTGTTGCCTCTCCAGGCCCCTCTCCTCTCCTCTTCATTTTGTTCCTTCACTCTGTCTGGACTTGTCAGTTGTGTAACAGGTAATATTACTGTCTCGAGTGTCCCTTTCTTTAAGCTCTTGTTACTACAGCTATTTAAATGCCTGTCTTTCTCACTCTAACGCTTTGTGTTCTCTTCATTTCTACCTCTTTTATTTGTTTCATGAAGTGCACAGTGAATCCCTATGTATTGTCCTATTCTTCTCCTGTGGTATTAATATCTTATTTCTTTCTATTCATTTTAGATCATAATTATATTATTATCATCTTTACTTTTTTTTAGGATGACACTTTCCAAAGAAGAGGGAGGCTTCAAAAAAGGTACTATTTTTTACAGATTCTCTTTACAAAATGCATTAAAAAAAATACATGTTCTTATTGATTGTAGGGAGAGCTTTGCCCTAGTAAAGGGTGCTGTCCTTCTGATCGAAGATGAGCCGAGTGAAGGGGATTCATCTCCTCCTCTCACTTCTCCAACAAAACAGAATGACAAAGTGTCAAATGCACGACACAAACAACTGCATGCAATGGTTGAGCTGCTCCGACCAGAGGACACCATTAAACTGGTAAAATATGCCGTATAAAGTACATTATGGGAGCCATGTAGCAGTCAGCTAAAGGAATTCTTGGTTGACTAAAGGCATGCTCTGTGAATCAATTATTTGACTAATTAGGGCAATGCTTGATGCTGGTAAAAGCTCTCAAAATTATTAGGCTCTAAAGAAGTATTAGCAAACAACATCTTCTTAAGTGAAAAGGCAGATTAAACTGTACAGTCACTCCAAAAAACTCCAACTAACTCACTCCATGCTTTCTCCTTTCTGCTGTTGGACACATAAATCCAAATAAAAAAATTATAATATGATAAGTTGGTCAAAAAGACTAAAGGACTACCGCCTTTCTGTACAACTGAATACAAACTCCCATGACTAAACATCAGAAAAGGGGAAATTGCTTATTATATTCAGATTTAAATATTTTAGTTAACTGTTAATTCTTGCATTTTTAAACCAAGGCATGCTTTAGTTCTGCATTTTTGAGCATTTTCTCTATATAATTTGGATCACCGTCGCTGGCCTCTTCTGCTCTCAGGCTGTGCAGCTGGAGTCTGTTAACCCTGTTAGAGTGAGGTACCTGATCATTGTGTCCACTCTGGGAAACAAAGACGAAAGCATTCTTCTGGGCATGGACTTCCCCAATGCAGATAGGTAAAGCCAAGACACATTCATGCTAATTATATATTCACATTTGACCATAGAGGGTATATAATGGACCTATCTAAGCCGCTAGCTGCCAGATTACAAATAGGAAGTGAGTATCGGAGCACTTCTGGCTCCATCGACTCCAGCTCCAATTGACTTTGTATTGAGAAAACTGTTTTTGTCAGGTTTCTCATTTTGGATTTAAAATGTCTGTATTAACCCGCTCTACATGATCCAGGTGTTTTTATGCAGCTATTTAGTCCATAAATAAATTTTTGTTCCTAATATGGAACTGGCTCTCCCATATAACTTATATAGTCTCATTGAGCTTCATTTGATTGGCCACTTCTTTATACAGTCTTTGCATTTTTCATACCACTATTATTTTACTTTCTGGCTTGTTGCAGCGATCAGTGCACCATCGGCCTGGTTCTGCCCATATGGAGTGACACGCAGGTGTACTTGGACGGAGATGGGTGAGAATAAGGAATTTCAAATTATTTTTTCTCAGGGTGCAGCACAGATGGTAGAGCCTACTGTCTGGGACTCTGGCCAGTGAAAAAATTTATGTATAATGTGCTTTTTATCCAGCTGAATCATTGCTCATAAATTACAGCTGTCCCATCACTCATGTAAACTCTTATATAACACTTTGTCCATTTCTCCATTTTGTGTCACACTAATTGACAATTATAGTCCTCATATAACTTTTTGTGCTGGTTTAGTTTTGGTTTAGTAATGACACAATTGTGGCCAGTAGTCCTGTATTAAATTTAAGTTCATAAGCAACAGTCCCAAAGAACTTATAGTTGTTATTGCTATTGCTATCAACATTATCTCATGTCATATGTTTTACTTATATTGTGAACAATAGATTGTGGCTGAACTGAACACAATGCGCAATCACAATCTATTAGAGGCCGTAGTAGGTTTACTGCTCTGGGCTAATAGAGTGGTTTTATCATGCTCTGCTCTTGTCGCTTCTGCCAAAATCACACCTACCTATGTGCCAATTATCCAGTTATTTGCATATTCAGTGCACAGTGATTTTAAAAAGACTTGACTTCCAGTATTTCTTGTTATTATGCATTATGGTAACTGTAGGTCGCCTACAGTGACGCTTTGTGGGTGCTTTTGAGGAAGCCACGATGGACGAGTGCAACTGAAATGTTTGTTACTGCACGAGTGAACACTCTGCAATCTGCACTAAGAACTTTAATGTACAGTTTTATTTGCAGACTGAACAAATCAGACAACGAAATAATAATGTCACAAATTTGACATTCAGTGTAATTCGATATCAGTCCAACACTGGTATGGCTGTCTTTTAAAAATATAAATGTTTATTGTTTTGTATTGCCACTGTCCTTGTCTGTTTTAAAAATGGACCATGAGTCCGGAATAAAGATGAAATGAAAAAATTATTTTTCCTCTTAAACTATGTCATCTTCTTTTCTCAGTGGTTTTAGCGTAGCTTCAGCTGTGGAAACCAGAATATTCAAACCAGTGTCAATGCAAACTATGTGGTGAGCTTCAATTTTCCTTAGTTTCAAATCTAGTGTATTTGTCTCTGATTGAATCTATGTAATAATGTTTTTTAACATCTGTCTCCTTCTGACGACTGTAAGGTCTGTGCTGCAGGCGTTGCACGGATGCTGTGAGCGGGCAGTGAACGCAGCGCTGATCCCGGGAAATGGGCTGGAGTGGGCCGATCATTACCAGCGGCACATTGAGTCTGATCGGTTCTGTCTAAATGAATGGGAGGCAATGGATGACCTGGAGTCAGTCAGGAAAGATAGCAGTGGATCAAGGTGACTCACAATTTCAGTTATTGGTTTGTCTCTGCATTTTTTGACATGTTTTACTCTGCCTCCTCTTCCCCGTAATTTCCTGTGTCTAATGTTTTGTACAAAGGTTTATTAAAGTGTGTGTGAAAGGTTTTGATGATTCTCTACTTTTTTGTGAAGAAAACTTATACAGAAATATATATATATATATATATATATATATATATATATATATATATATATATATATATATATATATATATATATTTGGGTGACCATATTTCCATTTGTGAAAACCCGGACACCTTACGGGTGGGGCCTCGATATCGAACTACTCTCACCTCGCAACCTGTGCAAGTGGCCTCCCACTTGTCCTGACCAGAATGGAAAACAGATAATTTCTTGTCATTGTTAAATGTGCATTTGCACTTCGCATGACATATACATGCCATGACATATATATGTATATGTATATATATGTATATATGTGTGTGTGCGTGTGTGTATGTATGTATGTATGTACTCTTATCTATTTTCTCTTTATTTACAATGTCTGCCTATTGCAAGAAAATATTTACTCAAAAAAACATAAGACACTATTTTATTTTTAAACACATGTCTTGGTTTTATAGTAATGAAGACAGACTTTGCAAAGAGAAGCTCATCAAGGATCACCTCAGAGAGATCATGATGACTGAAGACCTGGACAACCTCACATGTCGAATGGTGAACACACAATATATTATAGTAATGTAATTCAAAGCTTTTTAAGATTCAGACATGGGAAATTGCTTCTTGGTTGTATGTATTTTGTCATGTGAGTTCTGCTACTCCAACTACTGTAAAATATATATATGTGCCATAGGTCTGTATTGTCCCTAGGCATACTAAATGTGAATGCCTGACTATCTAGATAGTTCCTTTCCCCCAAACATGCCTGAGCATGTAAAAATGTTCAACATGAGAAAAAAAGCAATCGTAAAGTTGTAAAGCAAAGTTATATATTTAATGAGTCAATTCTATATGAAAATTTAAGTTTATATGACCTCTTTATTCATTACTACAGATACATAATGCTCTCAGCACCAAAGTTGGCTTCGACATCAGACCCTTCAAAGAGTACATTGACAATGAAATCCTTGTCACCCTGGCTCAGATGGACAAACCCTCTCAAATCTTTGACTACCTTTATTTAGTAAGTTATGTTTTTGTTGACTAAATACATTATGTTAGAATGCTTACATATAGATGTCAGTTTTTGTCAAATGGACGGAAATGGTGTTTCGCCAGGATGCACTCATGTGATGTGACTTCCCTTTTTGTGGGGCATCTGTTTTGAGAGTGATAGGGAAGATTAGGCCTTTATAATTACCCTGAAACTTTGTACGACTTTTTTTTTTTTTTTTTTTTTACACTCAGGGCTCTGAGTGGAATGCAGCAAACTTTGAAGAGCTGCAGAAAAACAAGTCAGTGATATTTTTCTTGCAGTTATTTGCTTGACACCATAAAAATGTGAGATATGTGTTTGCTCTGTCAATACTGAGTCGTGTTATGTGGTTTCAGTGTTGGGTACATTCTGAATGTGACCAGAGAAATTGACAACTTCTTTCCTGCATCATTCACTTATATGAACATCAGAGTGTATGACGTAGAGGAAACTGACCTGCTGTCGCACTGGTCTGATACATATAACTTTATCAACAATGCCAGGTATGAAACTCCACAGACCACAACCGGTACCATGGGCCTGAATGACAGTCTAGTGAAGTGTGACAATAATGTGCTTTTATAATCATTATGAAATTGATAACAATGTCAATGTGTGGCGGAGCAGCTAAAGTTCTAGTTCCCAGCAAGTTGTGGGTTCTTGTTCAAAGAGAGAAATGTGAATAATCACTAACCTTTAATTACCCACAAAGTATTATTAAATTTACATTTATTATTAGATTTTGTTATTAGATTATCCAGAGTGAATGCTTTTGGGAGTGAATGGTCTAAAAATATACACTTGCGCATTTTGAAATATTGCAGCTGCAACTTTTCAATCAACTTCAGTCAGAATTGTTTTTATTTTTAATATTGACAGAAAAAGTGGACAGGCAGTGTTTGTACACTGTAAAATGGGAATATCCCGCTCTGCTTCCACTGTGATTGCTTATGCCATGAAGCAGTATCGATGGGCTCTAGATGACGCACTGGCCTATGTCAAAGAACGACGGTCCATTATCAAACCCAACGAAGGCTTTATGAAGCAACTACATACCTATAGCGGCATCCTCAGTGCAAGGTAAAACTAAAGGAATAATGAAAGATAAAACTTTTATTATGTAGTTTTACAGTTTTAATTGTCATATAATCATAATTTTACATTATAAATTGTGTATTGTAGCCAACAGCGTCACAGCACTCTTTGGAGAAGGAAATCAAAAGACCAAAGGCAAAAATCTATTGCCAAAGAGGCAAAGAAAGTGCAGCAAAACCAAGGAGAGGGAGACGAAGATGAGGGTGTTGAGGAAGATGATGTAGACAGCGGTGAGGAAGACGATTCAAGCTGTTCAGATGAAGACAATGAAGAGGTGTGTGCCATAATCTACATAATCTACTGTCATCACTTACTTTTATAATATGTAAATAGTATTTATTTATTTTTTATTTTGTAGGTTTTTCAAGATTATGGTAACAGTTCAAACACTCCGGAGTCTACAGAAAATGACACTTCAGGCACTAGCCCTGCCATCACAGTCAGTGAGCCTGACAAGGTAACTATGCATAACTATGGATATGATTAAATAGTATTAAAATATTTCAGTGGCTGCAGTTGAACATACACTCAAAATCAAATCATTGTCAGATTTTTTGAGTTATAAGACAATTAAATTGACATGTAAACTGCAAAATCATCAAAATTTATTTCTGATCATGGTCCATCTGAGTCCTCACTAGATTTTGTGGTTTACATGTCATTTAATATCAAATAATCAGATTTTAGGTTGCATGTGAACAAAGTGTTTAGTGTTGTGTATTTTGACATTATGCAAATATAATTTGTTTATCTTTAAGGTCATCCCTAGTGTTAATCGCAGTGGCAGGATGAACCTCTTCTCTCTTATGCAGTCTATTAGTGAGCTAGATGATGACCAGCCAGGAAGTGAGAAGGTAAAGGTTTAAAAACATCAAGTTTCTGCTAGACTAAATACAGGAACTAGAGAGACTAGATACAGTATAATCATTGTTTTCTTGTAGCTCCCAGGCAGTCCCTTTCGCTCTCCAGGACAGAGGAGGCGGAGTAACAGTCGACGAGGCTTGACTCATCAAAGACAATGTGTGGATGTTTCACCTGAGCCTCAAAGCCTTCAAGGTGCTGAACAAAATCAGTAGCAGGTTTTAAGTACATGAAAAGGAAATGAAAGCAACAGCCAAAGAAGACATTTGGGATTTATGTCATGCCACATTTGAGAACACTTAAAAAAATTATTTTGATTTAAAAAGTTGCCCAATCTAAATCTCTGAACATTTATCAGGTTGTTTGTTTTATCTGCAGTATTTTGAAGGTTGGGTGTGTGTAATAGCTGAGATAGGTGTTTATGGACTCTTGTTTCTAAATTACAGTGCACAAATGAGTATCAGTCTAATCCTCCATGTAGGATGTCATAATCTTTGTTTATGGTTCAAAATATCTATGCAATGTCAGACTGCAGTCTTGTGACTATATGCTGTCAGTCAATGCTACAAAATAATCAATTTATTTTATGTCTTGATCATTACCCTACTAAGTGCATTAAAGGCAATGTTTAGGCCAGTTTTATGGCATAGGCCTGTCGCCAAATCATACGTTCAAATATGCCAAGATTTGTGTTGAAATGTATTATTCAGACTAAAAAGACAATTACAAACATGTTCAGGCCACAAGTGCCTTCAGCTGAAAATGGTGAAACTAAAATGTTTGACTGTATTATGCTTACTACAGTTGTACTGTATCTTGCTTTGTTTATTGCATGTCTGTATCTGGGCCAGCTGTGTGGTGTTTTTGGGATGCATGCTATGTATGAGAACAAACTTGAGTTTTCTATATTTATATAGTATCTCACAGACTGGGGTAAATTATTAATTCACTGCTTTTCATCAGCTGATGTGGAGTATTTTGAATTCATGCTGTTTTTTTCTTTATATTTCTACCAAGTCATATCAGATTCTTTTAGTCTGCATGTTCACCATGCACTTTATTATGTTTAAGATCACACTGTTCCCACTGCCTGAGCCAATGCCACGCTGTACATTGTTGATTGTCTTTCTGCATCTCATAAGCACCCTGGGGGATGATAATTTATTTTACTCTATATAAATGTCCCTTCTACTTTCCCAAGTGTGAGAAATAAACAATTTATAATAAAGTTGTGCATGTTGGTTTTCAGTGAGTTACATTGCTGGGCAACTATGAATATGTCATTCACAGATCAAGGTCTGGAAGCTGTTCCTCTATTCCAATAGTGTTTAAAGTTACAAAAAGATGTTACTGTCTCACTTAGCACTGGACAAATCTGTAAATATTTACCTCCACTGACACTTTGAAACTCCAAATGCAATTGTACATGTTTTTAGTAGGGATAACTGGCAGCCAAGGAAAGGGAGCCTCTGGAGGAAGCCTACTCCATGAACTTCCTACAGGGTCAGTCTGTATGAAATCAGCCATTTTCAAGGAATCTCCCCTATGAGCCATTTCATATTTGGCTGAAAACATTTCAAAAAATTTCTAAAATCACCAAATGTAAGAATCTCAAATTTTAGCTCAATCCCTTCAGTCGTTCCTGAGTTATGGCCCATTGAAATTTTGGGGTCATGCTCACTTTTTCAGAAGCATGTTTGAGAGACCATAACTTCATAAAAAAAAATATAAAATAGAGCTAGGAAGCTAAGAATTTGTATTATTATTAGGGCTGGGCAAAAATATATTTTTTTAATCGCGATTAATCACATGCTATACGCAAAACCAATTAATGAATTAAAAAGTAGAGTATAGCGCACTTTTATTGGAAATGTAAACGAAAGAGGCATACATTTGTTGTGTAAATAGCATTGAAGGCTCAAGAAAAAAATTTGAATGGATTTTTGTACTACTAATATATTTAATGAATATTTTTTTATGCCGTGAGTAATAAACACTACACTAGTACTAATTTCTAGATCTGTGTTATAAACTTGGACTGATATTTCTTGGGAAACAAAGGGTTAATATAATGGAATGGAAATGGACCAATCACATTTTTTCTTCCAATGGTATCTGGGTAAATCAGTGACTCCAGCACTGAACTAAAGAAACAAGCTCAGCTCAGAGCACACGGCTGGAGCCCGCGGCCGAACTCGTGGCCGGAAAAAAAAAGTGAAAAAAGTGTCAAGAAAAGACGTCAAACTTAAAGAAACGCTCGCGGTGGACTTTTTCAAAATAAAAGCCAGTGAGAAACAGACGTTTACAATAAAATTAATAAATAAATAATAAAAAACTGCGTTAACGGCGTTAAAATAATTGTCGGCGTTAATGACTTAATTGGTTAACGCAAAGTTAACGCGTTAACATGCCCGGCCCTAATTATTATAGATTTTTGGTCATAGATTCTGAATCTTAGATAGATTCGGAGTCTGTCAAATATTGGGTATCTTTATTAAGGAGGGTGCTGTGGGCCCCCAAAATCTCACATTTGGTTGCCACTAAATTTTATTTTATTTTTTTTCAATTTTTGAGGTTCAAGATCTATTTACTCAAAGCAGATATTTACAAACTACCTGTTGAACCTGAATATTTGAGAGAATGACTGTTTTTAACAGCAATTTCACACAATTTTGAGCTTTCATGTGGATGGTGTAGAGCCCCTAATATGGTCACAGACCAAATATGATCTTTTTGGCCCCTTTTTTGGACCCTCAGGTCCCCATGTGGGCACAGTTAGATATTTATAAAAAAAATTACCAGAGAAACTTTGGCATATTATGAGTAGTTTAAAGTAAAAAAAAAACACCTACTATTAACTTCTTTCATTTTAAATGGAATTTTTGAAAATTAGCTCTCATGGGTCATTTTTGGTGGAGCTTAGGTTCTTTTCCACCTGCAAGCAAGGTTCAATAGCAGGCTTTAATAGATCTAAATACAATTTGCTTGTTATAAGGGAAGAAAATTGGAGATTATTTGTGGTACATTGCTTGGAAAAGTGTCATTAATCCATTGAGAAAATTCAACTATTAACTCTGTACAAAATTATGAAAAAGGTTTGTTTGCATTATTTATTCTATTTTTATTTGAGAAAGATCATTTGTTATCTCACAAAGAAACAGGTTTTCATGGTGTATAAGTAAAGCAACAGAAGTTGAGATATTATCCATGGAAACTGATCAAAGGCAAATTACAATTGGAATACCCATTGCCTGTTAAATCACAAAGTCTCTGTGAGTCTATAACCATGGCTTTCAGTTCCACCATATGTGTATAAATTTGCACAAAAATATTACAAGATGGCAGTAACATTAACAAGAAAATTTGATACTGACACAAAAATACAGTGATCTGGTCTGTTATTTGTTCAACTAGAAATTACATTTTAAAAATTCAGTGTGAAAAACAACCTCAGCAGAAAATACCAACATACTGTAAAAATCTGCCCATTTTGGTGGCACCTATATGTAGATCATGTGTATTGATATCTTGCATACTAGTGTTCCTAACAACTAATGAACTTTAGAAGTAATGTTTGGATCCTGTCATAATCTGCAGTGTCAAGGCAATAATTTTGTGGTCTTCTTCTCTGAATGTGTCTTAATACAACAGATGATGTGCTGAAATTTAACTCAGCATGGTTTTGATGATGTTCAGGAGGGCAGATGAGGATTCTGTCATCTTCATTCATGAATCTCACATAGACATCACCATGTTCATCTGAACACTCTGAAATATTCCCAGTGAACCACCTGATGTCATAAATACATGCACTGTATTGACCTAGCTGGTACAGAGGGATATCTGGCTCAATCTCATTTTGGATTTCAGAAACTGACACTTTAGTACATAAATTATCTTGAGATATTCTCCTCATTTCTAAGTTACCATTTGATATTGGAATGAAACTGTGGTGTGATCTACTACCATTCACAGTCTTTGCCTTGCCTTGAAAGTAAGTTCATGGTTTGTAATGTATTTAGAGCTTGTAAAGAAAAACTTTACATTCTTTATGTTTTGTGAAGCCCACTCAAACATCTGGGGTGCAGTCAATATTTGATTGCTGTCAGTTGTCTGAAGACTGGCTCTTGCAGCGAAGCATTTTACTGTGTCACTAAAACCATCACAAATAATCTCCAATTGTCTCCCCTTATAACAAACAATTATTGTTTAAGGCTGTTAAAGGTAACTGAACCTTTCTCGCAGGTGGAAAAGTACCTAAGCGCCACCAAAAATCACCTATGAGAGCTCATTTTCAAAATTCCGTTTGAATTGAAGGAAGTTATTAGTAGATGTTTTTATTACTTTAAACTAATCAGAATATGCCAAAGTTTCTTGAGTAAAAATGTTATCAACATCTAACTGTGCACACATGGGGAACCGAGGGTCCAAAGAAGGGACCAAAAAGGTCACATTTGGTCTGAGACCATATCTGGGGCTCTACACCATCCACACGAAAGCTCAAAATAGTGTGAGATTGCTGTCAGAAATGGTCATTCTCTCAAATATTCAGGTTCAACAGTTAGTTTGTAAATTTGAAAAACGGCAACCAAATGTGAGATTTTAATAAAGATACCCGATATTTGACAACAGATTGAGAATCTATGACCAAGAAACTACAATAATACAAATTCAAATTTTCATCTTATTAGCTCTACTTTTTATGAAGTTATGGTCTCTCAAACCTGCTTATAAATTAAGGCTTCCAAAAAAGTGAGCATGGTCCCAAAATTACCATAACTCAGGAACGCCTTAAGTGATTGAGCTAAAATTTGAGAATCTTTAATTTGGTAATTTTAGAAATTTTTAGAAATGTTTTCAGCAAAATCTGAGATGGCTCATAGGGGAGAGCAGCTGATTTCATATGGACTGACCCTACAGTTAAATTAAGCTATAAACTAAACTATGCAACCATGGCACCTTTACAGCCATGGCACAGTGGCTGAGTGGCTTCTGTGTGGAGTTTGCATGTTTCTCCCTGTGTCTGGATGGGTTTCCTCTGGGTGCTCCAGTTTCCCTCATCAACCCAAAACATGCTACACAGGTCTCCAGGAAGAACAGTTGATAGCCAAGGTCAATTAAATACAGTCAATCAATTAACCTGCCTGGGGACAACGGGTGGAAATTAGCAATGGTGCTACAATCTGGTACAATGCATCTCTCCTGTTAAGGTGAATGTAAAAATTGTGCACTGTTCCTGTCTCATTAAATAAATAAATAATGATATCATATTTCACCCCATTGAAAGCCAATAAATACTTAGGCTTAATTTAGTAAGTTACATTTTTATTTACAACTACAGTCACAAACATTATGTACCAATATATTTCCGCCGAGGTTCACTGAGAACAATTCCACCTTCCTGCATTGATTTTCTGAAGCACTGCACAGCATCCGAGCGGTATGACCAGGGGATTTCTCTGTACACCATCCTTGTGATACCTGCCTGTCTGCACCTTTGGGCCAGCACCTCACCCACAGCCTGACATGCAGCCACGCAGTTTGTGGAGGGTAACTCTCTCTTCAGGGCCCACTCTTTGGTGGAACAGGTGAGCACCGGGTCCGGAGAGGAGTGGGAGAACACTTCTGCTGTGACATGGTGCTGTGTACGTGAAAATACTAATCTGAAAGAGACAACACAAAAACACATTAAGATAAAATTCCTTAAAATGCAATTTTCATATTAATTATGTTTACAACTAAAGATTGACGGTCAGTTTATGGTTAGACTGCTTATTCTGCATGTCGGCTACATTAGTACCTGTGATAAAATTCTTTGTGAGGCCAAATAGTTTTCCATCCACGGTCCTTCACTGCTAAAGCCATTTGCTCCAAGTTCCTAGGGTTTCTGTTCACAAAAGTAGGATTCACTGCTTCATTCTCTTCCACTGCGGGCGCTACCTTGGAGGCGGCCTGATGGACACAACGAGCTGCCAACAATAGACACACATAACACAAATGTTAAATCATCGTTTTGTTTAATTTATAGCGATTACTGCAACAACCAAATCTCACCTGATTGTGGGGACGCGCGTCGCTGACTATGACCCAGCAGCACCCACACATTCCAAGTAATTCCCCTCAAAGCCATTTTCTGTAAACTATGTCCACATAAACACAACGAGGCTACACCTTCATCTAGTCTAAGGTAAATGGTCTTTAAAAAAGCATTAACTGTATCAAATAAAACTTACGTAAGGCTACGGTTCAAAAACTGATCACGCGAAACGCCATTTTGACATTCTAACAACATCCGGTCATGTCACTTTGAGTCCGGGAAGAAACAAAAAGCGAGAAAAGTTCCGGCTGAAAATGTCCTTTACGTGTGCATTTTGTCTAGCGTGTTTCGTATTTATTCTTTATCAAATGTATAGTGTAGGAAAAGAAGAAAAGTTTGTGTCAGATGTAATAATATGAGCATGGATATTTAAAAGTGTATTCGGAGCATGGACAATAAATATTTATTAATTAATTAAATTAAATTAAATTAATTCTTTATAGTCTATGATTCTGAGCAGTCGACTGTATAGGCTACATTCATACATTATTTTTTAAATACACCACCAAAAAGTAAACTGCAAAATTAGAAATTTAATAATTTTCATTACTTTACAGTGTAAATCAGTGATAAAAGAAGGACAATAGTTTACATTTATGAGGCAAAGCAATACATTTGATAACCTAAAGACTTATGCCTAAACAAGCACTTAGTCCCCAGAAGGCACCTAAAATCATCATTACCAATAAATATCAATCTTTTTTTGGAAGACATGGAAATGAGGAAACACAATATTGGCTCATGAGATCCTCTCACAGTGATCACAATCCAGAAAATTAATATATTCCCTTAAAGAGTTGAAATAATTTTTCACTTCCCTTTCAAGAACAACCATTTTAAAGTTAGAAAATGAAATTTTGGCAAGAAGGCTTGAGGCTATATTGTAAGGAGAATACTGACAGTGAGATTTGGGGTAAGAAAAATTACTGATAAGCAAAGTTTTCATTTGATAAAGATAACAGTCAAACTTGTATAGGGAAAGTATTTCGTTACAATATTTTTGTTGGTATTTGCAGCCCCAGCACATTTATATAGCTGCTGCATTTATCAATGAAGAAAACGAGAAAGGTGTGAGCTTGTAGCCAGTACCACTGTAGAACTTGTTTTGAAATTCAACCCTGCAAGACAGAACATATTTGAGGTACAACACCAAGTAGCAGAATGACAGATTATGTATCAGGCATAATAAATACAAAATATTACCAGTGTAGACGGAGTGCATGCAGAAATGCCGACAGTCCCTCCATCACCAACAAGATTGAGACTGTTAGCACAGCAAAGAAGGCAAAAATTATAACTAGTATAGCAGCGCCTACGTAGCCTTGCCATTTCAGGGCCAATCGCATCACCATTTCCCATAAAACCTCCGACAGCTCTGTGAGGGAAAAAGAAACATCATTTTTAGTCGGGTTCATGTGACTTACCAGCTAAAAAAGAACTGCAAGGATGTGTATGAGTCTTGGAGAGGAAGTTTGTTGTGGAAACTATGCATGAATGAAGATGTCTAGGTTTAATTGTTACTAACGTGCATGAGCCAAACTGAGGGCCCAAAGTCGGAGGTAGGACGCTGTGTTGGAGATGCAGCCCAAACAGTACTCTATGGTGTGAATGGCTTGATGCATGTACACATCTGCAGCATCAAATTCCTAGGGACAGAAAATACAAATTACCACAACAAATTAAGTTTATGAGCTTTGAGACATAAGAAAATGGTTTACCTCTGGTTCAGTGGCTATTTCTTCTACATCCCCTGTTCTCGTGTTGACTGAACCATCATCACTGATAAGTGGTCGCCTGTCCTCCACCTAATATGAAAGATAGATTCAGTAACAAAATGTTCAAATGGTAGAATGAATAAAAAGGTTGTGCAAACTCACCACATGACGATTTCGTCGTGTTTTGAATTTGAAATATTCAAAAGTGGGTTTTCCGAGCAGTAGTACAGGGACGGAGCACAGTGCCAACACCACCAAGGCTGTTTGCACAATTGACTAAAGAAAAAGTGTTAAAAAGGCACATTAAAGAGTTGGAGATGAAACTGTATCGTGTGATTACAAAAGCACTCATACCTGTCCTTTATAGAGTGGAGGGTTATCTGCATTTTCTGTAAAGAGGAACATGTCAATAAAGTGGATGAGTATACTAGGGGCAAATCTGGACTGGTCTGGGGTGTAGGCAATCCACTTGAAGACGATCATGAAAACCAGGTATCCGAAAAGACACAGCATAAAGAACAGCTCCGGAATTAATACAAGAAACACATTGCTTATCTGACCAAAGTGTCTGTAGAAAAACATAAAAAACAATACAATATAAACATGAGATGAATGACACAAGTGGTGTAGAAATTTGCAAAATAGACAAAATATTTACACATAGTTAAAGAATGACAAACAGACTCCAAAAGTCATGTGAATGATGCCGATGATGACTGACATCTTCATCTTGTATGAGTTGAGGAATGTTAACTTATTGTTGGCTAAACCCCAAATCTAAAATAAAGAAAAAGTCTTAGTTAATAAACCAGTAAATAATATGCAGAGAAAAAAATTCTGATCTATATGTATGTTATAATGTTGTTTTCTCATCAAAAATATACCCAAAGTTGTGTTTTGTTTGATTCACACATGTTTAACACTCAAATCCTGTATATTTATGCTCTTCTCTCAAATGGAAAACACTCCAAAGTGCTCCAGTGTGTTTTTAAACTCCATATTCCTTCACTACATTTGCCAATCTCTACTAAAAGGTACAGGACTAATAAAGGATTACTCAAATGTGTAAATGAAACAAAACACAACTCTGGATATGTTTTTGATTAGGTAACATTCTAATAAGAATCCATTTTGTGTAATATAGGACCTTCAAAGAGGCATACCGGGTCAATGCCAAATGGATAGGGGCTTGTGAAAACCCCAGTCACATTGGGATCCATAGACAAATACTGGCTTCCTGCAAGAACTGATGAGCTGAAAGAAGAATATAATATATATATATAAAATAAATAAACATGGTGACTTGGATAAAAATTCAAACTAGGTTTAGAGACTTACTTCCATATATTCTTCTCAAACATTGGGGTGACATGCCATGCTGAAGTGAATGTGCTAAGACCTTTGCTAAAGCACTCGTTGTAAATGGCACCAGTATAAATGGAAAACAGTCCCATGAGCAGAATCAGGTACCTCCCTCCGAACATCATTCTCCAAATCTAACAAAAAGCAAACGGGTTATAACTAGGCCTGTCACAATAATTACCATATCGACTTATCGTTCAATATATGAATGCAGGAATCATATTTTTTTGGATCAATATTTATTGTGTCTACAATTTCTTTGCACTACTGACAAATGTATGGTTATTTTTTGGGCTATATGATAAGATTTGAGCCATAAATGGTTGAATTAATAACTCAATACAGATGAAATCTAAGTACTAAAGTGTTTCATTTTCCTATTTATTTATTCATTCATTCATTCATTTATTTGTTTGTTTGTTATCGTGACACGCTTTGTCACGACTATTTGGTGAGCTAGTTAATTTCACAAAAGTGTACTGAGTGTTTGCTTACTTCATTGTTGTTGTTCTTTAGTTTGGGATCATTTTGTTCAAGTACCATCCACAATGCTGCTAGTGCCATGAGTAAACCATGGCCAACGTCACCAAACATGACCGCAAACAGGAATGGAAAAGTGATAATGGTGTACACAGCTACAAACACAGAGACAAAACAAAATAATGTGATACGTGGCAATTATAAATTCTGATTTTCATAGTGGATGGGGTTGGGTCATACCTGGATTAACTTCACGGTAACTTGCCACTCCGTAGGCATCCACAATGTTCTGAAAGCCAGTAGTGAAGGAGTTCAGGGGAAATAGAGTGGGTGGAGAGGTGGTGGAGGGCAGGCGATTGTAGAACGAGTCAACGCTGCTGCCACTTTTCCTCTGAAAAAAGAAGAAAAGTTTTGATATTTTGAAGCTGATGTCATCGACATGCTAAATAGCTGGAACTACAGGTGAGATGATCTGTGTGCTTAAAAAACACACATAAAATTACAGTCAGCTAGCAAGCATACGGTTTTTAGTTGCTTTAAACCTTTTAGTTGAAAATCAAACACCTAAACCGGACCATGAATGTTCATATTGCTCACAGGTTCCTGAAAATGTGTTGTTCAAACCCATTTTGTATTTTTTCTTGAGCTTTCAGATAATCTTACAATGTTCTTGTCTGTGTTTGCTGATGTGTGCACTGTTTCACCAGTGTAAATGCTGAACATTGCACCAATATAGATACATTATTATGTATTATGTTTCATGTATCATGTATCATGTATCATGTATTATGTATTATTATTAACTATGACTCTTCTCTTACCCCTCCCTCTCTAAGTGCACACTGGAGTTCTGGTAGTTTGGCAACGGGACACCAGGCCTCTGCGATCAGGCACTTGTCTGTGACCGAGGGACTACAGAGGTTTAACACGGCCTGGACAGCTTTACACTTCTGCACCTTCACTTTCCACTGGGGCAGGACCGCCACAGCCCGCATGATCAGCTGCTGCATGAAGGTTTCAGTCTGCCTCAACACCTGCATGAGGGGGGAGGAGGAGCAGGGGTTAACATTGTAGCTGATGTTGGATCAAAATCAAATATAGGAGTTATAGAGTTTTGGATTGTGTGTTCATACCTCATAGAATTTTCAGTTTGTCTAATGTTAACCAATGGAGATTTTAAGATGCTAAATACTAAACTTAATGTTCATACAAAACTGTTCTCACTGATTAGTATGATACTATGCTATAGTATGATAAATATAGTATGATTAATATTTCCCAGTAGTAACCCAGCATCTTATCGACTTGTTCCTTGGCTTTTATTTTAGTTTTCTATTTTATTTAGGCCAGAGTGCCAGAAGCTGGCGAAGGGCCTATTAGTATCGCAAAGCGATGCTCTTAATGGACGAGAAGTGTTCTCACATCAGAATATTCTTCTTTCTTTCTTATTATTTTTCTTCTAACCAACTCTTCCATTTTTCAATCAATGAACCATGATGAGAAGTCCTGAAATTTTGCCCATTTTAAAGCTTGCGCTTCTCTAACTTTTGGCTATTTCCATTTTCCAAAAATAAATAAAATGTCTTGTCAGCATCCCCAAACAACTCAATAATGCATTAGGGAATAGGAATGAAAACAAAAAAATGTGCACGTAGAATCATGAAATTTGACACAGAAGTAGATCATGACAAGACAAGGAAAAAATATTACTACACCAATGCCGTGTGCCCCACCAGAGGGCAGCAATATCGGATTAAAATTTAGTAAGGTTTTACGAATGGGCCGCACGGGTTCAAATTTGGTCCACATTATCTCAAGAGATGGAACATCAAAAGTTATCAAAATTTTTCACACATGAAATGCACTCGATTTTGTAGATTTTTGAATATTTATGAATTGCTCCCATTTCCTCAAACAAGTAAAACTTGAAACAGTTCTTAAACTCTGTCCTGAAACTACTTAATGTTAAAAAAATACATTTGGCAGATTAGCGCCCCCTATGGATTGAAACAAAATTTAATATGTATAAAATTTCAGAAATTTTGCACAAAATTCAGTTTTGCCATGCTGATCCAAAAAGTCAATGACACCCAGGTAGCCAGATGCATGATGGCAATAGGAACAAAAATTTATATTGTGACCACACCCCTTTACAAACCATACGTCCGCCATCTTGGATTTGTTTTTTTAAATAAACACATGCAAAAACTTGGAAAAATGGCAGGGTTAGGTAAAGAGTTAGGGTTAGGGCTATGGTTAGGATTACAACTAGGGTTAGGTGTAAGCTTAAGGTTATTAGGGTTAGTGTGGGGCACAGCGTTTGCGGGGTGCGACGTAGACGCACCCCGCAAACGAGGGCATATCTTGCCAGCACTGTTAGAATTTGTTGTTCTATCCCAAGCTCCATGAAAAATTAGACCTGTTGCCACAGCGATTGACTGATTTGAAACAATTTGAAATGAAATATTGTAGATTTTGAATGGGAAAAATACCTCAAAATGTTCCATATAGCAGAAATCTAAAACAGATGAATTGGATGAGACTCTACTTACAGAATGTATGTCTTCAATTCTGGTTTGAAGTCCCTGGAGGATTTCTTCTCTTTCAGTTGTGCTCTCGGGATATGCAAAAGTCTGAGTGCGGAAGCTGTAACAGAAATTTAAAAACAGCTATGAAATATTCAATTCTACTTTACCAAGGAGCTGTGCTGCTTAGATGTGAAAAGCTTGTGGCGATGTCTTTTTTTGTGATTTTCGGTATAGGGTCTAGACTCACTTGTAACCACAATTATTTTCAAGCTTTTGTTATCAGTTTGTTGTTGTGTATTTAAAAGTATATAAAGGCAAACATACTAAGTCGCCACATACAGTCGCAAGTCCAGATTATTATCAATAATTGAGTAAGGAATTGATTAATAAATTACCATACAACAGGATGACAGTAATTTGTTTACTTGGCGCCTTTCAAACATATAATTTGTAACTTACCAATCGCATATTTTTTTGACTTTTTGTCCAATTTGATCTCCCCAGTACGAAATCAGAAACACAGTCCATTGAACGCTTTCCCTCTGTAAATAAAAAAAGCAAGTATGTAGTAACAAATGTATGTTGCAATTTAATATAATTCAGAACATTTTTCAGTATCTCACAGTGTCTGGATTCTCAAGCCGATCGTCCATCTCCTTGAAATCTACAATGATGAAGCCTCTGCAGGCCCGCCACAACAGTCGCTCAAAGGAGGGCACCTTCCAGGGATGGACCACTCCAGCTACAAAACTGAGGCAGAGGTATTTTTAACTTACCAGTAAGTAAATCAAAACCATTAAAAAGAGAAAATGAATTGTACCTTAAGCGGACATCTTGGCGGTTATCGAAAAGGCCTTGATTTTCGATTATCTGCGGTGGTGGTGCCTGCAAAATCCAAGTGTTGTTATGACCAGTGACAAGTTAATAAGGTCACTATTGTTCCCTTTTTTCATGGTTTGGTCCAGTTCTAGTCTTGGTCTGGTCCAGGTTTAGTTCCATGTTTAGTCCCAATTTGAGACAGTGACTGTGAAAGTGTGAACACACCCTAACTGCAATTAACAGTATAAATGAGGAACAGGAACAGTGTGATAATAGAGGTCCAATCAAACACAAAACCTACTGCTGCAAGAGGTTGATGCTGGATTTACTACTTACAGCACTGTCAACATATAAAATAGAATGAGGGACAGGAGTATATTAGTTTAGACATTATTGCATCATAATAGAATGAAACTGAACTAATTGAGCATTTACAATCATAGTTTATTGCATAGACCTGTACATGAGGCAGGCACACATTATTAACAAAAATACCCCCTTCTCACACACACACTCTCATAAAAAAGACAGATAGTTGATGTTAACTGGGGATAAGGTGAATTTAAAAGTTTTTTTTCACCTGAGATGCTGTAATTGAATGAGTTTTGGTCAGAACTCCTCTGTATTGACAAAGCTGAGTTAGCTGGGCTTGCAAACTGTCCCTGTTCCTGGAGACCTATAGAAAGAACATATGTATGTATTTATTACTTTATCAACAAAAACATGTAACACAACTTGTCTGCCCAAATGTACCTCTCTGAGCTCCCGGGCCAATCTCTCACTCTCCTCCTCTATCGTTATGAGTTCACGGGGCTGTGGTGCTGGAGGGATTGGACACGGGGGAGGGAGAGGGCCAGTGAAGGGAGGCAACCGCGAACGACTGATTTCTTGTTCAATGAAAGCTAAAGGGTGATTAGTATTGTTAGCAAAGTACAGAAAAATACACTACAATTAAAATTGTTTAACATTTTGATGATGAGAAAGGGAGAAATACACACTAAAAGTTTTCTCCAGCTCCTCGCATCTTCGGATCTCTGCGATGAATTTTCTCTGAAACGCGTTTACACTGGGATTTAACTGGAACAGAGCACAGAGTACAAAGGAAAATGGAAAAGTGAGTCAAAGTAAATTCATTCTGTCTTATGACCCTTTAATGACCACCACCAGCTCGTCTCAAGTCATTCAAAACTCATTATAGAGCTACAAATGGTCTCATTTCTCTGCCTGGAATGTTCCACAGTATGACATTAAACAGCTCTACCTTACATTTATTCAATTACAGGTGGTTTTAGAGCTTAAAAATAATTAGAAAAACAGGTGCTCTGACTGTGAGCGGGGTTGCCTGTCTACAGATCCGGCCTGTAACTTGGTCTGGTTTGGTCTTCATGAAGATAGAAAGGTTTATAATAGCATATTGTGAAACATTCCAGACAAAGCAAGAACATTTCCATGGAGAAAAGCAAGAGACGGACCCTCAACCAGAAAAGTTTCACAACGCACCTTTAAAAACCACTCCTAACCAAACTACACATTAGGAACAACCAATCATTTTCGTAATCACTGCTGTGAAATCTTAAGAACCAACTCCATGCTCAGTGCCCTTTGACTTCAGTAGACTTGTAAACCATTTAAATACAGGGATGAATGTACTTACTAGTGATACTATAATGCCAGCAATAGTAAGCAAAGGATAAAACAATAACTATAAAAGTATTGATAAACAGAGATTAAATCAGACTGGTTGATAATCTATTGCAGTGAATGTAGTGAAATAGCAAATTAGGCTGCATTATAGTTATATTTTTAATACTTAATAACTTTATACCACTACTAACACAAAGGCTCGACACTGAATAAATATACAACATAACATACAATGTAATATATCATTTTTCAACACAAATGATTGATTCTTATTACCATGTGGACCTATAGTAGTTCTGATAGGTCAAGAACACTTAGGTCAAGAGTCTCTATTTTTCTATTTTGTCTATTTGTGTGATTTTTTTCCCCAGTATTGATTAGAATCTTTCTCACATACTCACATCTCTGAACTCGACAAGGCCCAGCTCGCCAAGCTCACTGACACAATTATAGGCCGAACCGGACTGAAGGAAAAGCTGCACCAGGCAGACCTCCTCACTGCGAAACATGGAGCCCATAACTGTGGACAGGAAGAAAACTATTTAAGAAACCACAATTAATAAATGGAGGGCTTGGCAACCATTATAGGGAAATGGAAACAAAGATTAATATGAAGCTACAGGGTGTAAAAAGGAGAAGTGAGAATGTCCAGGTGGGATTTCCCATTTGACAACACTCAGCATCATGAGATCTTTTGCATAATAACTAAACGAGGAAGCAATTTCCTGAGGTCAAATTTACTAAATTATCAAAACCATTTACACGACACTGAATGGAATTACAGAAGAATTGGCTGTATGCATTGGCTAATACAATTTATTTGTATTATAGAATTACTTTTGTCAATAGTATGATGCAGAGGTTTAATTAATAGTCAAATTTAACTGTTCCATTATCCCACTTTATCAAAGAATTACTTGTGACTAGTTTCGTTTTTGTTTACAAATAAGATCAACAGTGCATGTGCTAATAATCCAGGAAGATTCTTTCACATTTAACAAGCAAGATTGTAAAGTCTCTTAACAACGAAGCTTTTCTGTAAGAATTTCTATCACAAAACACATTTGAACAGTTCTTTAATGTATTTAAAGACTTAATGGTGGCTCTTCTGTAATGAAATCTCAGCCTGTTTGATATCAGCAGCATCAACACTAAAATAACGTTACTACAAAAGACAAAATTACCTTTGTATTTTGTTGTGATGTTGAGTTACGACCTCGTGTGTCCGCTTTCCAGTCCCGGTACCGGCGGGCAGAGGAATAGACACAGAACAGGACAAACGCAGAGGTTCTGTAGTTGTGAGACTTCCCGTTTGAGACAGTCACGTTACTGCGGCCTCACGTGACACAGTCGGGATGGTTTGTACTTTGGTCTGTCGGGGTCGCTGTTTCATTATAACATCTAAAAACCTGACCCCAAGCTATGCATGGATTTCAGTTATTCATATATTTCAATTTTATTCCCATAAATCCTATTTATATTTAAGAGTCTGAGTTCATTGTCAGTCTGTGACCTTCACAACCTTCACAAAAATTAAGCAATTTTCTAATTATAAACCAGCCAAACACACTGTGTCAAAAGAACTTCGTTCAAAACTTGAGATACTTGCATTACAAAACATATTTTATTTTATTGTAAAAGGGCAGGTGACATAGGTAAAATATCAATTAATGAAAAATATACACATGGAATAAACATTTTTTAAAAAGGAAGTGAAAATACAACACAGAAAATAAATCAATTGCAAGATGGAGAGGACTTTTACTGGACGCCCATCAGTACATCACTACAGATGTATTTAATTTATGCTGAATAGATATTAAGAAGCTGGTTTACATATTTTCACACAGATGCCCCAGTCATAAACTTCAGTTTGCCCATCTATGTATTTTAACAGAACATCACAGTAAAATAAAAACATCATAAATCACAAACAGTACAGCTGACTTTAGTACAGAACTAATTTGGTTTGTGAGAGCCAACAAACATGCCATTTTAATCTCAGAAAGCATGGGCCTCAAATTGTCATTACTGAGCATTTGTTCTAATACACTAAAGCAAAAAAGCGGTGACAATTTCTGGTTTCCTAAAAATAAGATCACTACGCCCACCATTCCAACATAAGCATGACCTATGACCTCTGCTCCTTCCTCATGTTGTCATTTACATGCTGTAAAACTTGAGACTTCTGTCCATTCCAGTAGAAGTGAGGAAACGAGCGTTCTCTCCAAAAGCAACTCCAGTCACCAGCCCAGAGTGCTCTGCAAAACCGTTAGAACAGTTTAGAAATGCAGAAGTCAATGAAATTAAAAAACAAATAAAATTAACATTTCTCACCAGTAAAATTGAGGACCTCGGACCATTGTTTGCAAATATACACACGGATGTCAGATCCTCCAACAGCCAGGTAAGTTCCACTCTGGTCGAATACCAAGGACTTCACCTGGTAAGATCATTTTACAATATGATTATTTACATGAAAAATCCATTAAATCTGTTAGAATTCAAATAATCACATTCAAACTTGGCCCTGAACACTAATAATTGTAACATCTTACCTCATAGTTATTGTCCAATGTGATGGTCTTGAAATTCTTCAGTTTCCTTAGATCCCACAGTTTCAAAGAACTATCCTGAGCTCCTAAATCCGATATTGGTTGTTAGTTTTGTTTTTTTGTGTTTTTTTTTTTTAAAAAGTGCCAATACTGTGCCTACCTGTGGCAAGGTAGTATCCATTTTCAGAGAAAGCAATAGATGTGACAGGTCCAGAGTGACCTGGGAAGTTGGCCACATTGGTGCGCTCCTTCAGATCCCAGATCTTGATTTGAGAGTCGGCTGTTCCAGTGCCAAAAATGAGACCATCAGGATGGAACTGGGCACAAGTGAGAGCTGTGGAGAGAGAGAAGAGATTCACGTTTGAGTCATTTTACACACACTGAAAAAATAAATAATATACCAACAAGTACAGACATAAGCATCACTTACCACATCCAGCACTTTCATCTGTGACTTTGGTGAGCACTCTACCAGTTTGAACATCAGAGAAGGCCCAATACTGAAAAAACAAGATAAAAAAAATATGATTCAGATTTTATATGTGCTAAAATAAGATTTACAAGTAATTTTCCAAACCTGATCCTCGGAGGAACTGAGCAGGTAGTCCCCAGTGGCGTGCAGCGAGAGGCCAGTGACTCCAGCCTCATGAGCACGTACCACCTGGACGCAGTTCCCACCAGTGACAGACCACACACGGATGGTGGTGTCTGGAGATGCAGAAAACACCACGGACTGTTGGGAAAAATACAAAATTAAGTCTAAAGGAGCTTTGTTGGGTTTTCATTATGGACATCAACATGACTGATCATGTGTTAACCTGGGAGGGATGGTAGATGACAGATGTAACTTTCTTGGTATGACCTTTTAGAGTGGCTACAATCTGCTCTTCATTCTTATCAAACACGACCACATTCTTATCAGCTCCACCTAAACATGAAGCATGAGGCATAAAATCACATCATAGTAAGTGGCAGTATAAATGTGGAAACTCCACTTACCTGTGAGCACTTTGCTGGTGTCAGAGGGACACAGATCAAGAGCCAAAATACCAGGTACACTAGCACTATGAAGACCCTGAAAAAATATTGATCCATAAATAAAATTCCAAACATGCATGTTGTACAATTTTAGTCTTTGGTAAAATAAATAGAGTATTTACAGCATGAGAGGCTACTTGGCGATATTTGCCTAGATCCTCGGCCCTAACCAGTTCCTCTGGGACAGTCTTTCCTCTCTGGAACACCACAATGAATAAACATCATGACAAATTAACATTTTTAGGTAGCAATAAAACAAACTACAAACCTTTTTTCGCTCTGTTGTGAGGATTGTAGCCTTGTCTTGGAGCTGTAAAAAGACATTAAATGTATGTTTAAAAAAAAAATCAATTTAATATATTTTAGAGTAAGAATTATATAATTCACCTTCTGAATAATCTCTGGAGTCATTCCCACTTGTTCACTAATGTCCATAGATTCTCCACCAAGTCCCTGTTTAACAGTCACAATGTTTAATACAGTATTTAAAAATAAGAACATAGTTTTAATGCTAACAAATAACTCACAACAGCAGCAGGTTGAGAAGCAGGAACAGCTTGAGGGGTGACCAGCCCAGCCTGGGGTTTGAGAGTGGCAAGAGCTGTAAAGAATAATCATTAGTAAACCATAGATCGATCATAGCCATGCTCATACATTTAAATGACTCAGAAATACCTTCTCTCGCAGCAGTGACCTCTTTGGTAAGACGAGCAATAACTCTGCAGGCTGCATCATGTTGATAGAGAGCGTGTGAGAGCTCTTGACGGGTCGTCTGCAACTGCTGTCGTAGGGTAAAACTATGAAGCATAACAGCATCCTGTGACAAATGGGAGAAAAGGTTAAAGGTTAAATCATGGCACTTTGACATTAAACCCATGTTTGTCCCTCTTCTCATATATATGTGTTTTATTCAGTGTATATAGAGAAAACTTTTTCAAATCTAGTATCAAGGGAAAAAATAAAAAACTAAACCGAAATTATTACATTAACAAAAGAAAAGTACTCACCCACTCATCTTGCAGTGACTTGAGAATAGCAGGAATACTTGTTGCTGATGGTGCTTTGGGTCTTATGGGATGGGACACTAAAATAACAAATTACATTATATAGCTACACAAAACGGCAATGATTTACACTAACCTATGTTAAAGAAAGCGTGAATAAAACATAACTGAAACAATGCATTAGCAATAAGTACAAGGGCGATTGCTCACAAGGTGTCAACATACCTTTAATATCAACTAGCTGTTCTTCAGACAGAGGTTGGCCATTCATTGGGTCCGTCCCATTTTCTGCTATATACTTCTCAATGAGCCGCCGTTCAAACACTTGGTTTGACACCGGGGAAACACAAGGATGCTCCGGGACCTCATTAGAAACTGAAATACATGTAATTACACCGCAATTATGACAACGCGACGACGCAGTAACGCTATCGATAGCACAAGCGACGACCGAACAAACTTTAACGCGGCAACGCATGGCCTTTTGCTAGCATTAGCAACCAAGACTGCCGCTTAGCAGCGTATGTAGTAATGAAAATGAAAGAATGCATACTTACTTGCGCAAACTAGAGACATTTTTCCACTTGGTCCTAAAATCCCCTTAGAAATGTATATTTGTGTTCAGTAGTTTCTTGTTGATCCTTTTATTGTACACAGTTGTGTTTTTTTGAAATGTGTAGCACGCTCACGCTGTCCTTTCATTCCGCCGCTACATCCGGCGCACGGCTTCTTCTACTGTTTTTGAAACTTGGTATACACGCTAACGCTGTACTGCCTCCTAAAGACAACAAAATGTCAATGTTTTTTTTGATGCAGTTCTCTAAAAAACTCAAAACACTGATCATTGTGGAATTGTCAAGTGTATTTGGAAATTAAATTAGAACATAGTTACCTCCGGCAAGGAGGTTATGTTTTTGCCGGCGTTTGTCTGTTTGTTTGTTTGTTTGTTAGCAACATAACTCAAAAAGTTATGGACCGATTTTGATGAAATTTTCAGGATTTGTTGGAAATGTAAAAAGGAAGAACTGATTTCATTTTGGGGGTGATCCGGAAGAAATCCTGGATTCTGGATCACTTTGAAATTTTAGTTAACATTGTGGTAAATGGGGCCAAAAATTTTGTTTCTCAATATCTCGGTTAATTATTGACCAAACCCCATGAAATTTGACTCAGGGATGGACAATGGGATCCTCTTTCATATTCCAAAGGCTGATCCAGATCTGATCCAGAAGACTGATTTTATCACAATTTATATCAAAAATGGGGGTAATCCTTGGCGGAGGTCTGCGCTCTCTGAGTGCTTTTCTAGTTCTTTATTAAATCAACATTACAACACTTAATTAGAAGTGCATAGGCCTTTAAAAATCTATTTGGAAAAGCCAGACTGAGATGGTTTTAGACTGGAGTGAAGAAAACTAGAGTAGAGAGTAAAGTGGGCAAAAACGGGACAGTGCTGGTTAAATAATTGTTTTTATTACGCTATATTAATTTACCATTTCCCAGTATATATTACAACACAAGTTCAACTAGATTCATTGTTATTTTTTGTACATTACTAACAAACATTTCATTTGTCACAATATATTAGTCTTTCGTAAACTTATGTAAGTTTTCTATTGCAATAAGCAGTCATTTTAGCCAACAGACACATATGATGATGGGGTCAAACTGACTATAAACTGTCAGATGTTTCTTTATAATTAAGATATTTACATGGCAGACATAAACACAAACGTACAGTTCTAACATTGGTCCTGAGGGTGTGGAGGTAGGTTTCTGAAGGAAGCTGGATCAATTCTGCAGCATCAGTGACCATTGTAAGATAGGACAGTGATTTCTCTACACGTGCAAAAGGATTGTTACAAATTTCATAAAAGTTTAACATGCAGTTTTTGACAGCAGGTCATGGAAATTAGATGTAAAGATACAAAAGGCACAGTTAAGATCTTCATTAATTATTTCTTCCATAATCAATCCCTCAGTCCCTCTTCAGCTAAAATTCAGTTTATCTGATGTGTAGACACTGCAGGATTCAGATGTGTCAGTGTCCAGGGGAAGTGTGGAAAAGTAATCTTGTGAGTTGTCTATCTTCTCTTTATTGTTCTTAATCTGGAATTGAACACACTCTTCAGAGATGTGCAGACAATCTGAAGCGCCAGGCATGGAAAACGAAATCCTCCGCTCCTCTTCAGTAGGCTTCAAATGAGGCAGAATAAGTTTTATTGCCAGTGAACAAAATTCACAGATGAGTAATGTGTTTCAGAAAACTAAACTACAATCAAATAAAAAAAGGCGTGCACACAGGTGTGAGATAAAAATAGACTTTGACTGAAAAGATCTCCAGTGTTAAAAATGCAAATATGTAACTTGTAATTAAACTGTGTATAATTGTTTTGATAATTTTCTAATTTATTTATTTCATAGGATTATCTGTTGCAGTTTTCCGTAAGTCTAGTGCCAGTTTTAAAAAAAAGTTGGGCTGAGTTCTAAAAAGGGATCTTTCTATCTCTGTCATCAACAGAGTTTGGTAGATTATAGTAACTGATTTACCTGTGAATTGTGAGTTGGAGACCTGCCTGTTGTCAGTCTTTGGTTTTCCTCATTCCTAGTCCTCATTGGAGATCGAGAGGATTGAGGCGGTGTTCCTACTTGACTATAACCCTAAAAACACAAGTAAAATAAGATAATAAGGTATCGTATAAATACACAAAGCAGTGGTAAAAGGTGCATTGTGTAACGTTTTGGTTGGGCGTCAATCACCTTCTAGTTTTTAAGGATATGCCATTGCTCTTCTTTAAATGTTCCGCAGTATGATTTGAAACAGATCTATCTCACATTTCAAATACAGGTGGTGTTATTTTTTAAAAATACCTAGAAATAGAAAGGTTTAATGTCATACTGCGAAAGATTTCAAACTAAACAATAACATGTCCGTCAGGGTGGACCCTCTACCAGAAAAGTTACGCAGTGCAGCTAACTCAAAAAATGTCCTTGGTTACCGAATAGACTGGAGTGGCATGTGGAGTCCATTTTCTTGGAGTTGATGGTTCTTGTGAATAACTATAATATCCAGCGGGCCCGGGGCTTGCATGGGTGCAGTCCTAATAAAAAAAGAGATGCAAACATGTGTTAATATTTCAAATAATGTCCACATTAAAACATATTCTAATTTAGTATTTAATTCAGTATTTTTTTCTTCACCTGTATGTTGACTCTCGGTTGGTTGACTGGTGGATTGTGGTTGGTTCTCAGCCCAGTGATGATCTGTGAGAGACTGCAGTAGGGGTAGCGCTTCATAAAAAGGATAAATCCAGCCAGAGACACAAACATCCCTGAAGGTACACTGATAGATTTGAAAATTGCTCGCCATCTTCCTCCCTTTTCTGCAATGAAATCACATAGCAATATGACACATTACATATATATAGCCCTCTGAGACCCAAGCATTCATTTCCTGAAAGACATTTTTTTTTAACCCTCTTTAACATGTTTTACTAAGCCTCTAATGCAGAAAATAATTAGATTAATCTTTTTTTTCTTTTTTTGAGGAATCTGGGGAAATGTAGCAAAATTGCAACAGCGGGCTTTAGTGGTTACCAATATTACAACTTTATATTTAAAATTCAGCTTTGTATTAGTTATTAGTCACTCAATAAAATGAAAATATATTTTAAAATGAATTAATTAAATTTAAAAAATAATAATAACACTTTTTTTTTTATACAGAACAGCACTAAGTACACGGTATGGCCCCATAGCTGATGTGATGCCTTGTATCCGTTTCCAGTGCTTTCATCCTCCACTTTGGACAACCTGAGTGTTACAGATGAACAGAAGCAAGACAAACTTTGGAAGATTAGGCCAAGGTTTGGTGCTAGACCTAGCAGGCTAACCCAGCACACTACCTTGGTTCACATCGAAGTCACAGAGTATGCAGGAGATTCCTGTTTCTGTCCACATCTTGAAGCCCCAGGGATGGGGTTTCCCACATATATATTGCCGGACGCCACTGAACCTTCCCTTGAAAGGAATCATCATTTCATCAGTGGAGTTAGTTTTGACCATCCCAGCTTGTCAAAGCCTGATCTTGTCAGATCTCAGAAGCTAAGCAAGGCTGGGCCTGGTTAGTACTTGGATGGGAGGCCACTGGGAATATCAGGTGCCACAGGGGGGGGCCAGTTGCAAAAACCCTGTCGTTGTGTCCTTAGGCAAGACACTTCACCCACATTGCCTAGTATGAAAATGGTGTGTGCAGTGGAGGTCAGAAGGGCAGATGGCACCGATTGGCAGCCTCGCTTCCCCCGGGGCAGTGGTAGCTTACTACCACTGAGTGTTGAGTGAATGAATAATGAACTGTAAAGTGCTTTGCCTAGCTTGAAAGGCACTATATAAATGCAATGCAATGATTAATTAATTAATAAATAGTAGTAAGTAAATAAAAATGTATTAATTAATTATGCTCCTCTGGCACTATCTGTAGGCACTTCTCCCTGAAGGACTCCAACCATGGCCTAATCTTCCAAAGTTTGTGTTGCTTCTGTAACACTGAGGTTGTCCACAATGTGGAAGGATGAAAGCAAGCACTGGAAATGGTTATCACTATCACTGTTCTCTGATTCTCTTTCAAAATTATACAGTTGTATATACTACATAACTATAAACACACACAAACCTATCCATCTATTCTATTGGATCAACACTCAGGGGTGAGGGATTCTCTGTGTAAAAGGGGCACCCTTTGTAACCCAGTCTTGCATTTTTGCAACATGTATATAAATCACTCTAAATCATGTGTAGTATACTTTTAAAAAAAATATATTTAACTTTTCTAACACTAAACATGTTAAGAATGAAAGAAAAAAAATTACAGATTGTTTACTTACTTCTACAATTGTTAAAATGGATCCAGAAAAGAGAGCTGGTTGGTCAGTAGAAGGCAGCCATGTCGTTTGAATTTGGAATGTGATATTCACTCTGATATTCAAATGTTCCCTCCAAAAATGTTGTGTGATGTAATACAGAGTGTTGGGTGCTGGGATATGCAGTTTTAGTTACATTCAGTCAATGTGAGACACTACTAGACAGCTCTCAGTAAATGTTACAATTCTGCAAGTGTGGGTCTCAGAGGGATAGGCATGCAGGTGATTGAAAAGAATATTTTAGTAGAGACAACGGCATGCTTTATTTAGCAGTTTCTCTCATATGTCTGTTAAATATATGCATTTAAATGACAATTATATACATCACATTTTTGCAGTATTTTTGCAGTGTTTTGAGTGAACAGCCAAATTATTTCCTGTACAATCTCTGCCAATATGTTTAAAGTATGTCAACTATGTTAAACTATGTAACCTTTTGGTTGTAGGCCTGCACCTGCTTGTTTCTCTGGATATGTCATTTCTCTGCATGGAATGTTCCACAGTATAACATTAAACAGCTCTTCCTTACATTTATTAGAGTACAGATGGTTTTACAGCTCAAAAATATACATAAAAAAAAAAAACAGGCATTGTGACTGTGAGGGAGGTCACCTCTCCACAGATCTAACCTGTAACTTGGTCTGGTTTGGTCTCCATGAAGATAAAATTCCAGACAAAGCAATAACATCTCCAAGGAGACAAGCATTTAAGGACCCTCCACCAGAAAAGTTACACAATGCACCTTTAAATTTAAGTGAGGAGCAAACTATTTTTTTTTTTCACTGCAAAAAGTATTCTTGATCAGAAGTAAGAATTATTGGAGTATAATGCTACATTTTATTCTGTTTTGAATAAACATGTATGGTCACATTTATTACTAATAAGTACATATTTATTAGCAATAGAGAATGTGAATGTGACTTACCAATGACCTGTAACCATGTGGTTGAGACCAAGTTGCCACCTTTATCTTTGATTTCGTAAGTGCCATCATGTCTGGAGGTCAGCCGTACAATGACCACCTCGTCTTTGCTCCCATTACGCCCCAGTGAGATCAGACCTCTGTATCTCATGTCATGGTCTGTGATCTGGCCCTCGCGAACCAGTTGGACCGGACCACGAGGGGGCTTTGGGTCAAATGGCCCCAGTGAAGATTCGTCGGGGTATCGTGCGGGGGTAAAGATGAGATGAGCATGAGAGACAGGGAGAAACAGGGGTAGATTTAAAGACTCTTTGGTGAAGCGGGTGACATTGAAGAAATGACCTACAAAATTAATAAAGTTTACAAAAAGAGTAAAAGGAGAGGAAAAAGTGATGGTGGCATGAGTGACAAGTAAAAGGATGGATTGGAAAAAGAAGAATATAATTTCAGTTAATCGATAATCTGTAAGCTTTTTGTTTGATTTCATAAAGAGTTTTAGCTGGAGCAGTTATAAAAACTATGTAATATCACCAATAGCACAAACTGAACACACACAATTTTTTCTCTCATTCTACTCCCCAGACCTTTCTAAATTTGTAGATGTCACTGGCTGTGTCCTTGGTAAATGAGAAAGATTTCACAGAAAAGTTATGCTTTTCTGTGAAATCTGCCCCAGTTATTAACATTTCCAAAAAACTTGAAAAAGAGCATAGACAATGTGGAATATTCAAAAAGATAATGCCAGTTTCCAAAGACACACTCTAGGCAAGTCACAACAAGCAGGAGGCCACTGGAGCACAACCACGAACCAACTAAGTGTGATGTAGCAGCTCTCACTCTTGGTCTCTATATTCTGGACTGCGATTATGTCAAATTCCCAGACAGGGGAAGAGACGGTTTTATCCCTCGATAACATTATACTTTGGAATGAAATATTCAAAACGTAAATTCAGAAATGTTGAACCTGATAATTTATTATTGACTATACCTAAGACTGTATTATAACAAAAATCTACATTTTAGCATTGTTCATTTTAGTTGGCCCATTATGTATTAAAGGTCCCATATTACACAATTTTCTGACCTGTTATAATGTTATTTCCTTATCACAAACATACCTGGAGTTGTGTTTTGTTTCATTCACACATGTTTAACATACAAACTCCATGTATCAGTTCTTCTCTCAAACTGAAAACACCCTGTTCCACCTTGTGATGTCATGTGATAATACCAAAAGTACTCCACTGTGTTTTTAAACGCCATACACGATCACTAGAATCATTTGGATGATTTCAGTCCTGGATTTCCAATTTCTGTTGAACTAAAGGTAAAAGGTTGTTGTTAACCTGAAAAGTACTGCTTCATAACATCACAAGGTGGAACAGAGCATTTTGAGTAATAACAGCCAATTGAATGCTGTGGTCTCACCCGAAACCCAGGAATACTCACCATGGACAGCAAGGGTACTCCGCATCAACACTTTCCCTTGGGCGTCTCTCACTGTGTAGTTTCCTTGGTCGGCCTGTGTCACTTTATCGGCCAGCCACACTTTCCCACCTCTCACAATGCGACCACGGCCTGCACCACTGGCATTGTAACTTGTCCTGTTCCACAGCACCACTGGCATGGCCTCAACAGGAGCCCCCTTGGGAGAAAACTCCAACAAAAAGCTATTTTCGGGGATGCTGTGTTCAAAGTTTTCACCATATTTTTTCCTGTAGGATTTGATGCACTCTACAAATAAGGAAAAAATAAGTACAGGCCTGTTCATTACATGTGTTTGTTAAAGAAGTATTTTCTGTACCTGAAACAGTTAAGCGTACTGTCTCATAGGTAAATTCAGAGAAGAGTTTGATTGAATAAAGTCCTTGATCTTGATGAGTCACCTCTTTTAGGACAAGCATCTTATCTTTAGTCCATTCAAATCTTGGGTCCTTTACCTGTAATCACAAAGAAGTTTGTGATGTGATAGTCTTGATGAAGTTATACCTCTTTTTTTTCTAACTATCACTTACTGTGGTTTTCTCCAAAATAACACGCCTGGGCCCAGGTTGATCTGGAGTAAATGTTACAATTCTTGATGTGGAATAAACAGGAAGTCGAAACTCCTTGCCAGCGCATATAGTTTGTACCTCTTCTCTGTCACCTGTAAAGATGCAAAATCACATCAAATCATGAAAGGTGCACAGTGGAACTTTCTGTGTGGAGGGCCACTCGTCACCATGAACATGTCGTTGGCTTGTGTGGAATTTCTCACTAGATGATATTAAACTCATATTTTCATTGAGACAAGCACCAAGCCAATTTACAGGTCCAGTTTGTGGAGGACAGTAAAATACATATTTTATTAGTTTTATTGTAAAAAAAAAACAAAAAACAAAACATAACTAAACTATAGTTATAGAATAAGCAAGTTTAATGCCATACTGTGGTACATTCCAGCAAAAAAAAAAGAGCATACCTCCAGGGACACAACCAAGTGCTGGACTCTTACCAAAAAAGTTACATAGTGCACCTTTAAAGAAAACACTAAAATAATGTACTTTTTTTCTTTTACTTACCTAAAAAATGTAAGCCTGCGAGAAAGACAAAATAATTAAATATTATTCACGGTTAATTCCCACAATTTGCATGCATTTATGACGAACTTACAAGTGGCAAAGGGAATACCAAGGACAGTTAGCAGGATGCAGGGAGACATCTTGCTTTGGGGACACATTTCATCTATAAACAAAGTAAGCATTGTATGTTATTGTCATTCATCTCGTCCTCAGTGAGCTACACAACCGAAGCTCAAAAGCAAATGTGGATGACAATGATAACGCCATTATAATGAGGTAACTATCACCGCTATGTTGCCTGTTTGTTACATGATGCCCCCTGCGCGGTTGGAGCATTGGCTGGAGCCGTGTGCACTTGTATCCCACGGTACGGCACACTGCACTCAGCTGTTCTTAAAGCCCACCCGGACATTCTTAACATGCTTCCGATATGAACTCACCGGCCTATTCTGGTGAAAATAGATGCCCCCCTTGTAAAATGTGTTTGTTTATCGTTGTGAGGTCGGAATAAAAGGATAAACGTTCTTTGCGCCGCGCATGTGCACTAGCCCCATTTTTGCTGCTGAACGAATTGGTACTTTCGATTCACGTAAACATTTACGAAAAAAGCGCAGTATTATTGTTGAAACGGCCATAGTTTAGATGTATCACCAAAAAACAAAAGAAAGAAACACACACAAACAAGAGCAGTGTGTGGGTTCATTTGGATAAACGCAGGAGTTCAGTTAGTTTTATGCATTAATCTGTGCTTACTGTGTTATTAAAGTTGCAGTTCATAAAAAAAACAAATTTTATTCATTAAGCACGTTACAGGCAAAACGCGTTTGAGTTCGTAAAAACCATGTAACCTAGTATCTAACCCATGACACCGATATAAACAAGTCATACTCTGTTGGGAGGAGGGGCATGAAGGAACCCCTCCCTACAAACCGAGTGGGGCCTTTCCTCGTCTTTTTCTTTTTACTTTCAGCCCTGTAAATGTTGAATAGTTTAATTTCAGGAAACGATACATTTCTAAAGTCGCATTTTGTGCAAGATCTTTGCAAGACTGTAAAATTATCCTACAATAGGCTACTAATGCAAATTAAACACGCATAGGTTTCTCTTAACGACATGTTGTTCCAAGTTACCGTGTTCGTCCTTCTGGATTTCTGTAAGTATCCAAAACAGAGTAAACTGCTTGTCTTATCTTTACCTGAGAAAATATAGAAAGCAACTTGGTGCTATTGATGCGATGCTTTTTATCAACAACTGAAAGCTGTAGATGACTAAATTGTTACTTTCAATTAACATTTAAAATTGTCTTATAGTTTAATTGCCAGAATTATCTTAATGACCAAAGACTTTTAAGAGAGTTTTAAGGATATTTTTAGCCAAGATATGTTGGCTGTACTGTAATGCTCTACGTTGTTTTCAGAAAATTATTTATAATTTAATGTTGTAATTTCTTGTTTAGGTTCATCTTATTCTACTCCTTTTGAGTGCTATGGCGGCACTTACACATTCACCATTCCACGAACTGATACTTCTGTATATTATATGCCAAATACAAGAGATAACCGGATACTTGTTGTTGACAATGGAAAAGTAGGTACTGCAATTTTAATTATTTCATTTCATTAACTTTGTAAGAAATAACTTCTTAATTGCTTGTTTAGTCAGTAAATACACGGTTTGAGGTTTCTTTCATGAATACCATAAAAATGAAGGATCTAACGGAACAAGATGATAGAGCTATCCTGTTCTTTGACCAGCTCAACAGTGTTCAACTGTCAGTCGGTGGTGAGTGAAAAAGATGCATTCTTGGTCATTAACATGTATCTCATTCATACTTTTAATATTACATAATACAGTCTGTCTCGTCCAGCTAGATTAAATTACAACCATGTGTTTACTATTAATGATATAAATTAAGCCATCTTATAAATGTAAAACTAAAGAAAATGGAAATGAATAAAAATTATATATGGTAGTGTATATATAGTAATCAATGCCATTTTGTGTTTGTAATTTATTTTTTTTCAGATTGCGTGGAGCCTCTATTAAAAAGATATGGAGATTTATTTTCTTGGCGGATCCCTAGACTTGCGCAGTACTTGGAATTTGCCCAGACTGTGTCTGTGTCTGTGTTAAAACCAATAGTAATTTGGAATCGCACTGACCCCTCCAGTACCAGAGGAGTAATAAATGACAATGATTTTGAAATATACAAACTTACCCAGAAAAACAGTGGTTACTACAAATTTAGGGGGTCTAGGAATGACCTGATCAAATGGAAAAAAATAGAAGTTGAAGGTGAGATGTTTGTTACTTTGGAAAACGAGGCAGATGTGTTTTTGACATATATTTTTTGTTTGTTTGTTTGTTTGTTTCCACAGAGAACCGTGAGCATTTGGAATATTTTGAGGGAGAACACTTTCACATGGATTTTCCTGTGGAGTTTTCATTTTCTAATATTTTATTTACACCTGCGACGTCCCAAATTGAGAAAACCATTGAAAAGAGACGCATTAGGAACAGAATGAAACTCACAAATTCATACGTTTCTTTTAGGGACCTAACACTTCAGGATACAGGTATATACAAATTTATAGATAATGAAGGAAATGTGGCTGTGATGGTGCAGTTAGATGTGAGGAAAGGTAAGAAAGGACTTATTCAAATGTAAATGACTAAATCTAACTACTCTTACTAAATTTGACTACTAATAATATGCTCTCTGTGTTTCAATCCTGCAGCTGAAGTTCCAGTGTGGGCCTATATTGTAATTGTGTGTGTGATTCTCCTTGGTATCCTGTTATGTTGTTGTTGTGTAAAAAAGTGCTGCTGTAAAAAAAGTGAAAGAAGTGAGCCTGGTTCTACTAATGCCGCAGCACCTGCTGTGTATTACCATGTAAGTATTTTTATTTGATATTCAGACCAAATGTCAATAGCCTTTACATTATGATTGGCTTTTTTCTGAAGGATTCAAATCAATCTGCTCCACCTGCAATCCCTCTTCTCTCCAGAGAGCCAAAACACTTTACTGCAGACACAACGGTGAGTTCTGCATTAAAAGGTCCTATATTATGCAAAATTGACTCTTGTGAGCTTTGTTATAATGTTGTTACCTCATCAAAAACATACCTGGAGTTCCACTTAGTTTCATGCAGACATGTTTGAGTAATCCTTTATTGTCTGTTTACATCTCCAAAGCACAAAATGCTCTGTTTCACCTTGTGATGTGATGAAGCTGTAGTTTTCAAGTTAAGAGCTACCACTTACCTTTTGTTAGTAGAGATTGGCAATTCTAATATCCAAATGATTGTAGTGAAGAGTATGGAGTTTAAAAGC